CCCCAAAACCCCAAAACCCCAAAACCCCAAAGATCTAAATTTCTTTTAAATTCTGGTTCATTAAAAATTAAAAATAATGGAAAGCTAAAAAGAATTTTACAACATGTTATTCAGTCTGTTATCGATAGAACAGAATTAGACTTGCATTGATTGTGGTAAATAATCTTTCTTCAACTGATATATAAAATTTTAACAGGCAATAAGGAAAACTAGGTATACTTTACAAGCATCAATAATGGAGTCTTTATTTGCAATGATTGTTCTTTTCATCATTAAAGTTTGGGAGATAATGTCTCACTCCTCCGACCTTTAGATGCTGACTTCTGGCATCCTAACTAAATGGAGCATTTAAAAATGGGTGGGAATGAAAAATTCTAAAGATTCATTCAATTTTATAAACTGGAGGACTTTGAACCCAGATAGAGATACCAGACTATTGCAGCTTAATACTACAGAATGAAGCTCAAGTGCTTATCGAATTTTTAAACCCCAGAATTCGAAGCTCCATCGATTGAAGAAGGATAAAAAATGATAGATGGAGATGAAGGTAATATACTACTATGTCCACTTAATCAGTTTATAGGATGGGTAATGGTAAAGACTAAAGATGGATAAATAATTAAGACTGAGGATTTTGTGGGCGATATAATGTTCCAGGATGATGACGATGATGATTACGATAGATATGTGAAGAATCTCTCACAGAGTTAAGCTCATTCATAAAAGAAGAACTTCAGAGAAGAAGTCAAAGATATCTGGGGAAAGGCTTCTGAGTTTGGTAAAAAGGTAACTCTATTCGGAATATCTAAATTATTAATAGCAATCTCAAAAGCTTAAGTCAAAGATATAAGATTCTAAAAACAAAGATAAAGTTAAAGAAAATGTTGATGAAAAAATAAAAGTAAATATTTTAAAATAATCATTCCTTAATGTCAATTAGAATTCAGAAGGAAAGACAGATGGAGTAAAAAAGTTCACTAGTAAGATCAAGCTAGGTATCTCAAATCTATTTAAGAAAAAGCCCAAAAATATCCAATATGAACATGATGAACCTATGCATGATGAATTAGATGCAGATGCTAATCCTTATATTAGAAGCATAGCACGCAATCCTGAAGTAGAGGATATTAAACTCTTTGATGATATCAGAGACAATGAAGATCCATATTCTACTAATAGCAATCAAATTGAGCAAGAGCTAATGAAGGAGATTATGTTTGACAAGAGTGACCCGAGTAATCATAGAAATTTAACCAAGTCAGAAATTATAGAAGACTCTGAAAAATCCAAGACTATAACCCAATTTTTGCCTGAATAATTGCAAAACTAGGATGCATTACTTGAAATTGAACAGGAAAAGAATCTAGCAGAGAAATTAAATTTAGAAGAGGCATCATCTGCAATTCAAAATTTAGCATTGGAATTACAATATAAACAGCAAGAATAAGAGAATGTTTAGTAAGATGAAGAAGAGGCCTTTGATATTGATGAAGCTGATCAAAAGATACTCATTGATTTTGACGATGTCAGAAAAAAAGAACAAGAGTAAGAAGAGGAATTGAAGCAGTCTAAGCTAATTGAATCAAATGATTAAGTTCAATATCCAGTCTAGGATGATCCTTATTAGTAATGATTGGTGAATAAATCAGGGGAAATTGTTTTAAATTATTATTAGAGATGATGTATTTATATATTAGATTTGGATTTATACTTAAACTGAAAATGATTATAGCACATAAAATTATGTTTAAATTTTTATCAAATTGAGTATAAATTTCTTCATAATGTTGTTCATATATCACTAGTCATTCATAATTTTCAGAAGAATTTATGTTTGAAGATGGATGGAATATGAGCAGATTAGAGTGGATTGGCAAGTTGGAGTTGTCTGTGCTTGTGACTGCCACTGTCAAATCTCTTCTCGAATCCGATAAGGTAGGAAATGATAGCACCGTAGTCTTCTCCCAAGGTGTCGAATAATGAAATAATCTCTTCATCAGTCTAAACGTCAGCTCTGAGAAGGAGTTCAACAATATTCTCAATTTTGGTTACAAGTCCGAACATGTTCTTTTTTCCATTAGCTAAGAGGAGATCCATGTCAAAGCAGTTGAAGAAATCGTTGTCTGGGCATGAAGACTTGAGATCGTCCCAAACCTTGAAGGCTGAGCAGTACTTTTGGTTTAAGTAGAAGAGGTTCACGACCTCAGTGGCACCTTAGATGGCTTCGTTGTATGGAATTGGGAACTCCATCATGAAGACTCTGTCCAAAATGTTAGCTAGATGAGTCATGTTTTATCTCATCCACTCTCCGAAACATTGCTCGTCAATAATGACTCTGGAGTGCTCTCTGTAGAGTCCTCTGACGAATCCGTTGTAAAGACTATAACCAACCTTGGTGGTGAATTCGGCATCATCCATCATTTCTTGTTTAATGATGCCTCTTGCTGAAACAGCAGTAAGGGCTACGAGGAAAAGTGCTAAGTATTTCATTATAAATTGTTTCTAAATTATTAATTATAATAGCTAATCTGACCCTAATAAAGCGATAATTAATATTTATTCCGTTATAATGAAAAAAAACAAAATGCTTTCAAATCATCAGGATGATGATTACGAGTTCAGAGACTCCTTCATTAACTCTAATGGTATATTAGGAATGAATACCTTTTACTTTTTCATAGATGTAGATGAGTTAGATGCATATTCCAAATCGCTCAAGAAAATATCATAAAATTAGGGCAAGAGGAATGATCCTTCCAATAAAGAGAATAAGACGGGCTATTATCAATTAGATCTCTCTGATGATGAAAATAATAATTCTCATTTGTAATCAATGCATCAACTAAGAAATAAAAATTTTTCTCCCATTTAAGGTAAGTGTATAATTAAACTTCTTATCTATCATAGAGAGAGTGGGCACCTAATTGAGTTTAGATACTAACTACTACCATACTAAATTGGGCCTCAATCCAAATCGAACACAACAAATGCAAGGATAACTTCTAAAAAACTAAGATGAAAGAATCACCAAAGTCAAATAGGTTGACTCTCCCATTGAGGTCAAAGACAGTTAGAAGTTGAAATCTAGGCTCACCTCGAATTATGTATCTAAGAATCCCTAATCTCAATAATCTTATTATTCTAAACCAGGTGGGTCAATGGTGTCTAAATATCAGCAGTTAACCCGCACAAAATAAAATTTACCTTCGCCCATCGCATCAAAGATATAAAAAATCTAAGATTCTAAGTCTTCAATGTATTTAAACTCTGATTTGGAAATGAGTAAGGATTTCAGCCAAGGCGGCTTCTCTGATAAGTCTGTTACTCAATGCAAGGATTTTAAAGTAGCGTATCAAAAGTTATAAGATAAGTTTTTAAAATCTGCAACCACACTTAAATCTTTCAAAGGACCATCAGCCACCAAGCTTATATTAAACAGCTAGTCTATGACTTAATTTGTTGAAAAGAGAGACAAAAGTAGGCAGCAAAAATAGAATAATAACCAAACTACTGATATTTATAACAGGTTGTATAAAGAGAAAGACAGATATTTTGAGTTAAAAAAGATAGGAAATAATGTTAAGCTTGACGAGGACATGACAGAATGCACATTCAGCCCGAATTCAGGGAAGAAGAAAAAAGATAAAAATAGAAGTTTCAACTAGCTCTACTAGGATATATTGAAATCCCAGCATAAATCTATGTTAAATTTGGAAAAACTAAGGAAGGAGAGAATAGAGAAAGAGATTAGAAATTTCAGTCAGGAAAGAAGTAAATCTAATGATAAATCTGCAATGAGTCCTAGTAAACTATCTCAAAAACTTTATGAAAAAGGTCTGGAGAAACTGAATGAAAAGAAGTAGTTAGCCAATACTAAAGATATGTCTAGGATAGATAAAAACTACACATTTAAGCCAATTCTGGGAGAGAAAACTAACAACTATGCTTACTAAAAGAACCCTAACCGTAAAGGCTAGAATGTTAATGAGGCTCTTTATTAAGATGGCTTGAAGTTTTACAAAGCTTAGATGACTCCTAAAGCACGGCCAGACTTTGAGTCACCCAGAACTAATGAGAAATCAAAAAAGTACTTTGAAAAGCATCTTGATAAAACCATTATGGAGGGTCTTGGCAAATTAGAGTTTAATGAATTGAATGGACTCACTGTGTTTGACTTGTTTGATTTGATGAGAATTCTTAAGTATGCATCAAATGATGACAGGCAAAAGGTTAGTGAGGCATTCAAACTAATCAGTAATGGCGCATATCTCGGATTTGACGAGATTAAGACTATTGTCTGTGGCATAGAAGGACTCTATATCGAAAGTTTCATGAAAGATATGCAAATTATGATTCCAAACAAGAAATTAGGGGCATCAACTGTTTACTAACTAGACACAGAAGAAAATTTCGAGAGAATGATGGCTCAATTAAGACATTTTAAGATTAACAAATTTCAATTTGAGTATTAGCATAAACTTAGTGAAAAGAAATAATAATGTAGGTATCTATACTTATTCTATAATTATTTTAGAGTTGTCACCAGTAGGTCAGTTCAGACCAACTCTAAGTAAGAAATCAGTTCTCATTGAGAAGAAGAAAGAAAAGTCATTGGGCGGCTCTCAAGAAAGAAGCAGGTCCTTAATGGAAAGAGGGAGACAGTACGAAAAAACAAAGCTTAAGAAAATTGAGGAGAAACTTGAAAGAGAACTGGCTAATTGCACTTTCAGGCCTCAGACTATCAATTATAGCTTCCAGGACCCAAATATTTTAAGCAGACACAATCCAGACGATAAATATAAGAAGTAGTTTCTAAATGTAATTCACAAAATCGGGTTGAGAGAGGGTGAGAAGAGAGATAAAACGACAGAAGAGGTTCAGTTCGAGAAGTAGAAGTAGCAATGCACATTCAAGCCCTCAATTAACAAGCCTCGTTAATCCAAACACAGATAGCAGCCTAGGTATTTGGAATCTAGGACTTAGTAAAAAAGTAGAGAGTCCTCTGCATCTCCTCAAAAGCAATAGAGCCAAAGGAATGTCACACCCTTCAGTTTGGATAAATCTAAAATAGATTCCCCTGTCCAATTGAGTGGCAGATGTTCTATTGATAATATCAGTGAGTAAAGACGCAGAGAGATTATAAAGAGAAATCTTATACATCCTTCATTAGAGGATTCAGGATAGGGTCCAATATAAATATCATAACCACCCTTGCTATATTTAGAGGTTAATATCAGTGAGGGGTTGCAAGCCAGATTAATGGTGTTTGACAACGATAATCATGAAGAGGTGGTTGAAGTTTTCTCAGATTACTATTCAATTGGTGGAGCTAAGAAGACTAGACTTCAGGAGATAGTTAAAATGCAGCTAGCAAAAATACTCTAAAACATTGGTGAGGCAGTTGATGAAGAGGAAGAATCTCACATGGATATTAAGAATTCATGATATACTATTTATTGTTTTGTTTATTCACTATTATTGCTGTTATTATGTTCAGCGGGGTTTTGGGGTTTTGGGG